CCAAATGCACAGTTTTGGCCTTTTCCCTCTTTTGTTTCTTTCCATTTTGGGCTGCCACCTCATTTCGGAGCTAGCCGTTTTGAGCTGGCCCACAAAAAACGGCTAGTTCCTCTCCACCATGAGATCTGATCTCAGATCCATGGTCAAAAGAAATCCGGCCACTTCCTTTTTGCCTTTTCTCTCATTTTCTGCTTTTTAATTCATATTTTATTGAGATATGGCCCTTCTTCAATCCGGATTGCCCTCCCTCATTCTAGGAGGGATGAGGTCACAGTTGGGACCTGCCAGTCCCTACTGTGCAGGTCCCAATAGGCCGGCACACTCTCCTCCACTTTTTTCTCCCCTTTTCTCTCATTCTCCCTCCTTTTTCTCTCATTTTTTTTTTTTTTCTTTTATTTCTGTGCACCCTCTTTCTAGGCCCTAGGGCCTCATTCAAGGCCAGGTTCATGGCTGTTACTTGGCCGTTACATCTCTGATTCCAACAATGGCACCCCCATGCTCCTAGGGGGCTCCATTTTGCTACCGTTTGCCCAATTTTAAGCCCCCTTTGCTCCGATTTTTTAAGGGCAGCCTTTTTCTCATGTTGAGCCTCTCAAGGCTCTATTTTCTTATGCCTAGCTAATCCGAGATATCCCGGACTGCTGGGCAGCCTTCCCAACATCCTTATTTTACTTTTCTCTCTCCCATGGCTCTCCCACTTGCTCCCACTAGTGCTTGCACGAGTGGTGCTAATATTATTCCACCGTCTAGATCCTCGATCTCGACGGTGCCGTTACTTGCACGGTTATTCTTTGTGTTTGCTCATGGTTCCCTTGGGACATCCCAAGTCCCTGCCATTTTCCTTCATGCTAGCTTCATTTCCTTGTCCCGCCAGCGCATGTCCCGTTTTTTTATTATTTGGACCCATTTGGTCCCCGGCAACATTCCGGATGGCGTCCCATTTTTATTTTTTTGGGGCCCATTGCCGTTGGTGGTTCCATCATTTCTACATGTATGCTGATTTTTTTAGGCCGTGAGATCTCATCTCACGGTTGCCGTTTACCGTCTTTACTTGCCCCCTTGCTGAAATTGCTCCTTTCTAGCCTTTCGGGCTTGCCGTAACCCATTTCCCCTTGGCCTTGGCATCCCCATGCAGTCCGTAATTTCTCGGACTGCAGTTATGGCTGTTTTTCTACACCCACAGCCCCACAACTTGCCCCATTTTAAAAGAAAATGAAGCGTTAAATTTTCTAGTGCATCTGCGCTCAATATTGGCTCCGGATGCACCTAGAACATGTGTTTTCTCTCCCCCATGCAGTCCGTTGCAACTCGGACTGTAATGGGGGTCAATTCCTTAGCCCCAATGCCCCACAACTAGCCCTTACTCGAAAGAAAAAGAAACGGCCAATCTCCAAGTGCATCCGGACTTGATTTTGGCTCCGAATGCACCTAAAACATGTGTTTCTCCTCATGCATGTATTCCGTTTTATTCCGGTTGCAAGAGACCTTTGTAACCGCCATATTTCATAATGAATTTGGTCACGGATGAATCTCCCCAAGTGACCGTTTTTTACAGTTAAGGTCTTTCTCTCTTTTCTTTTCTTTTCTTTTCTTTTCTTTTCTCCTCCTTCCTTGGACAGTAGGGACCTGTCATTCCCTACCTATGGCAGTCCCTACTGACGGCCAACTCACTCACTCCCTCTCAGTCTTTTTGTCTTATTCTCCCCCATTTTCTTTCCTTTTCTCTCTTTTTTCTAGCATGCCAAGTGTCAAGTGTCCGTTAAGGCCCTTTTCTAGCCTCTTCCTTTTAGTTTTGGCCCTCCCTATGCCCAAGGTGCAGTCCGTTATTTCTCGGACTGCAATAATGGTCTTCCCATGCCCATGGGAGCCTCCTTTTACTCCTACATTTCTCCCACAATGGTCCCTCCTACTCCGATTTTCTCCTGGAGGGCTATTTTTCACATGGGGTCCTATTTGGCTCTATTTTCTTGAGGGAGGCTGATCCGATATTTTTCGGATTGCTCCCATGCCTCCCACTTCAGTTTTCTTTACTTTTCCTTTTCCTTTTGGCCTTCCCGTTTGTCACCACTAGTACTTGCACTAGTGGTGCTAATATTCTTGGCCGTCAAGATGTTGATCTTGACGGTGCACCTTGTATTTATTATTTTTCCCTCATGCGGTGCCGCCGTTTCTTTTTGGGACTTTCACATGTCCCCGCCACTTGTCCCGTCGGTGGTCCCCGACACTTAGTCCCGCCGGTGGTCCCCGACACTTAGTCCCGTCGGCGGTCCCCGACACTTCGTCCCGTCGGCGGTCCCCGACACATTTCGCCTCGGATGCCATTATTTTTACTTAGTCCCATGTGGCCCCGGGTGCCTTTCCCCGAGGTGTCCCATGCCCCTTGGACGTCTTGTCGCCCCATAGCGACCCCTCTCCTTAGTCTTTCCTTGCGCCTTGCGCATGCCGATCTCTTTGGCCGTGGGCCTTCGCTACGAGGCTCCCGTAGGTGGCCCCCATGTTGGCCCCTCATTTCCCGGCTTCCCGCGGCTTCTGGCCGCCCGTCCCTCGACTTCCTCATTCCCTTATTGTTGTCGCGTTGCAATCGCTAGTTCAAAAGGCCCCTTGGCCTTAGTCTTATTGCCTTCCGATGGCCCTCCCGGCCTCTTGCTATGTTATATGTGCCCCTGCTCTTGCGCTCGCTCGCTTCCCTCCGCTTAGTTCTTTCCCCCTGTGGTTCTCACCCCAGGGCATTACTCCCTCCTGCGGCCTAATCCTTTATCTTGTCTCACTTCGGATTTCTCTGTTGTGCACAGTTCGTCCATACTCGGTCTCTCGAGTGATGGGAAGTTATTCGGGACTCACCAGTCCCGACAATGTAGCGTGAGGCCAGTCGCGGGGTTGGAGACTTACCTGTTGACCGGTGCGTTGCTCATCCTATCGATGGAAATCTCTCTCTCTCTCTCTCTCTCTCTCTCTCTCTCTCTCTCTCTCTCTCTCTCTCTCTCTCTCTCTC